TTTTTATAAAACCTAACGCGGACCTAGCTTTGCTAATCGAGAGCTCAATATGCAAGTTAAAACGTAACCTATGGTCAAATAGAACGCCTAAATCTGTGATCGAATCGACGTCCTCCAACTTATGCGGATATATGAAATACTGAGTAATGAATGACTTTCTTCTTGAGAATGAAAGCTCCTTACATTTACTCAGATTTAGTTTCAGCAGATTCAAAGAGCACCATGCAACAAAATTATCCAAATCACCTTGAAGCTGATGTGATTGCGATTCAACAGAGAAGGAAGAAAACAGTTTCACATCATCAGCATAAATTAAGATCTGGCTGGAATTAACCACCGATGGGAGATCGTTAATGTATAAACTAAATAAAATGGGACCTAAGTGACTTCCTTGAGGTACGCCAGACGTAACGGGGAATTCATCCGAAGTGATGAAGTTAAACAAAACCCTGTAGGATCTATTGTGCAGATAAGAGCTTATCCATTTCACTAAGGGTGGGAAACCAGAGACTTGGAGTTTAAAGATAAGTAGTCTATGGTTAACCATATCAAATGCTTTGCTTAAATTAGTGTAAATAACATCTGTGCGAGAGCCACTAGAAAAAGCCTTGAAAACATGACAGGTCAACTCTAACAAGTTGGTGACTGTAGATCGCCCTTTACGAAAGCCGTGCTGGTGCGGAGAAATATACGAATTAATGGCAAAGGCCAAATGCCGAGTCACAATACGCTCGAACAATTTGGGCAAGACACTCAACTTGGCTATGCCTCTGTAGTTCTCAACAAATTGTCTACTTCCACTCTTGTGGATAGGAATAAGGAAACTACTCTTCCAACATGAAGGGAAAACACCTAAATACAAAGACATGTTAAAAATCTTTGAAATCACACCACATAACTCGACAGCGCAAGATTTAAGTACACATGGTGGAATTCCATCAGGTCCAGGCGAACAACTGCATTTTAGAGAACGCAACCCTTTAAAAACATCATCTTCCCAAATAACCAAGTTAGGTATTGAAACTGAGTTAGTTATAGGATATGGGTAGTTTGCTGATAAATCGAAATTTGCAATCGAAAAGCTACGTCGGAAATGCTCAGCAAATAGATTTGAGATTTCAAAATCATCCGAGGAATTAGAGCCATTAAAAGAAACATGAGAGGGATATGTGGAAATTTTTCTTTAGAGTTAACAAATTTAAAGAAGAATTTAGGATTAGCAAACAGAGAGGATTTAACGAACTGAAGGTTTCTGCAGTAATAATGATGGTTGAGGGAGTTAAATCTATGCCTCACCACCGAGTAAGCGACATTGTCGAGCGCAAAGCCACTTTTCGAATATTTTTTGAATAGCGAGTTTTTTCTATTCTTGTGATATTTAATTGTCTTATTAAACCACGGGGGACACCTGCTTCGAGGTCGACACTGCTTGATCGGAACAGATGCAGCAATAGCTAGATTTAATGTATTGTAGAATGATGACAATAAGCTTTTAATACTACCGGTTCAGAAATCAAGCGTCAAATGTGAAAGGCGATGTTTTAGTAATACAATATTGATTTTATGAAAATCATAATAATTATTTAAAAAAGTTTGATTTGGCACATTAAGGCATTTCAACAAACCATCATTCATATGATGAAAGGAAATGCATATTGATGGATGATAAGGATCCTCAGGTAAACTAAAGGTGGACAACGATTTACGTTAATCTCGGGAAAATTGGCAAAGCAGAGATCAAGCAGTATACCATTACGATTAGGGGTACGATTATATTGACCCAAATTATGATCAAACAATTCACTAAAGAACACAACAGCCCTATCAGACGTTGACGTAGGAACCAAACAGCCAGAATTATCAGTGTTACACCAAGTGACTTGAGGCAAATTGAAGTCACCCAATGCAACGATCAAATCGGTGGGTCACTTCACAAATGAGGGCAGCGTGTATCTTGTAAATGGAGATATCAGAATTTGGGGGAATGTAGGAGCAGGTTATAAATAGATGTTTATCAGGCATATTCGCACGAATAGCGATAAATTCAACGTCAAGAGGAGTGGAAAATTCAATTAAATTGGACGGGACCGATGCAGACATGGCAATTAATACACCACCACCAATGCGATTCACTCGATCATTTCTAAAGACTTGAAAAGAATTATGAAAAAGTTCCGACGAATGAAGATCGGGTTTTAGCCAAGTTTCAGTAAAGGCCAAACAGAAAAACTCCGTGCTCACTGAATTTAGAAAAGTGGAACGAATTTTCGAATTTAGGCCCCTAACATTTTGATAAATGAGAGATAGTGGGCCTGAAGAAACAATTAGTTTTTTGAAGGCGAGGGATAAATTCCTTAATTAAGAATCCTACTGGCCACAGTGATTTGTTTAACAACATATCACTGTTTTCAGTCGGAACTAATATTTTAAAAGAGCAGATTGCCCTAGCCTGAGAAGGAGCCATTTTGAAGATGCTAACACGCTTTAAGTTGACTGATGGGACTTTCGTCGCCGGATTTATGTTATCCACCGATGTTTCAGGTGCCAGTCTTGACACAAATATTGCTTTTCTGGGAGGAACTGCCGTCAAGCAAATGTCATTATTTGGAACAGGAGTGGGGTTCACGGTAGGAGAGTTTCGAGTTGGGGAGAATATAGATGGGGTTATCGCCTTTGTACCGGCAGCTTGTGAAACTTGCCCAGTCTGGTGACCAGCATTCACACGCGAGCAGCCAGGAGGAGAGGATGATTTATTTTTCTCTTCATTACTTTTAGGCGATGGCGCTTGATTAAAGTGAGTGGCGGCTCTGGGCGGAGATACCCTTGCCACTTCAGCGTAGCTTAAAACCGACGGACTTGCCGGTTTGTTACCAACCGTCTCAGCAATATCGCAAACATTCCTTTACATTTTAGAGTTAGAGGGAGCGGTAACTTGTACCAACGAATCAGATTTGGAGAAAGCCAGAGGTGACGTATTTTTCTCGTTTTTATTATAAATCAAAAAACAGCCACTTATAGCATTACTCTGTATATATTGCTAATAAAGTAATAATATTGCAATCAACTAAAAGGAAAAAAATTGCGTATATTTTATGTTCTTATAAATGTCTTTGAGACTCTACGTTACCAAGTGCTTAAAGCTATTCAAAACTTTCACTTCCTTTCTTGTCTTTTAATATTATCATTTTACTGCATTTTTAGAACAAACAAAGTCGCCAACAAAAGAAAGTTGAATCGCGTATCGCGGATTCTCGTTACATTTTTAAAAATTGCAGCCGCAGTCATAAGTTTAAATACGTCTCTGCTTGTAATATGTAAAAAATGTCTGGAATGTTTAAAGATAATAATTATTTATTTTATTTTGAACGATTTTTTATTTTATTATGAATGATTTTTAAATAGCTTCCAGAAAATCTTATTATAACCAAAGGATGAGAGGTATATTCATTTTGTAAAAGCATTTGCAAAACGCAAAAGGAAGCTTCAGAGACTTGACAAAGTATATTCTTGATTAACACCAAATTCTGAATCGAAGTAAGTATGTCCGTAGGCATGTCTGTATAACGTCTGTTGTAAACATTCTTTTGGCCGCAAAGATGATGCTGCCTTCTCATAATAATTTCAATAAAAATAAATAAGTGAGTGAAAAAGCAGCAACAAAAACAACAAAATAACAGAAATGTAGTTGAAATTCTGAAGTGAGTAGAAATGAAGTAACTTTATACAAAAGAAAAAGCCAAACGATATAGTATTCTATGCGATAAAATCTTTGCACTATATTTGCGATATCATATTCGACTCCTTGACAACTCGAAATATTTTCTAGAAATGTTTATGCATAAAATGAAGATTCCCGTAGAATTCGAACGTAAGCGTTCGGATTTTAATTAACGAACTCTTCCGGCTTAAATCTTTGCATTTTGCTTAATCATTAGCAAGCAATTAAATTAAATTTCACCGTTGAAGATATTAACTATATAGAATTATTGGTTTAAGAAAACCCTAACGATTGGCCGTAAATATTCAAAACGATTCGCATATTATAGCAAAAAAGGCATTATTTTTATTTTCATAATAATTGATCTAAGAAGTATTAAGCCTTTACGAACCTACTCATCCATGTGATTTATGTTAAAAACGTTGTCGTTATTTTTGTAATGAAATAATTAGATTAAATGCTAAAATTAAAAATTATTTTTTTAACAATTCGTTATGTTAAAAAAAGAAAAACATTCTCACGTCATTTAATTCCACAAGTAAATATTTACTTTCGATTGTGAGTTATTTTAAATAAACAAAAAATTTTGATGACATCGAAAAAGGTGAAATACGTAGAATGTAAAAGAAACCAGTTATGAGAGGTTATTACAACGTGTAGGCGGTCTACTATAAGCGTTCTTAATGATAACAACGAAAGTGCTGATAATAAAGGCATTCAACTTTACAAAACAGAACAAAATATCGCGATTATAACTAAATAACAAGAAAAAGAAGATATTAAGTATTAATCCAAATAATAGTTGTTTAATTATCGTTTAGTAAAAGTCTAAATCGTTTCTCTTTCGAACAAAGAAGAAAAGGTTTGCTGATAAGAAATTTTTGATTTGTAATTTATATTACATGAACGTAAATATACAAAAAAGATTGCAAATGCAGGCTAAGTTACATTATACTCTCTCAGATAGATGATAATGACAATCGTTGGATGCAACAAAAGGTTGAGGTTTATTGAGCCCATCATTCGGCGTATACTAAGAACATACATTGTTTGATTCATCTCCAAATAAAAAAGTAGTAGATAAAGGATTCCAATAAAGTCAATAGCCTTAGGATGCTAATGCTTTGAGACTTTAGTTTTCAAATTTCTTTCTATGGCTTAATTAAAAGAAGGGATTTTCATTAATAACTTACTACAGCTATCGTATACTACAACTACTATACAAATATTCATTCTAAGTTAAACATAAATTGCTTATTATTTTTGGATGCTTTACACTTACTTTAAATTGCTTCCATTCCTCTTTGTTAACTTCGTTGATATTTACCGCATGTGATACTGCCATTAAAGTCGAGATTAAAAGTATTAAACGCATTTTTTAAAGTGTATACAAACTGAAATATAAAAATATAAAGAAAATACATAACATTAATATATCCTGTAAGCATTGATAGATTTCTTTATAAACTGCACGAATAATGTAGAATAATAGGAGTGAATCATCATCCGGTACTCTTTGCTCTTCTACGACAATAAATTATGGTTTTTATTTAATTGCACAAAACATGTTCATATTTAAAATGGAATTTGACAAAGAACTTTTTGTTAACACTTATATCAAGTGTCACAAGAGAGGCAAAAAAAAAAAACGAGAACCCAGACATTTGTTTCTCTCCACGTTATGCATTGCTAGCATAAAATCACTTAAATATTCAAGTTTGAGCAAAGCGCTAATTACTTACAAAGACTTTTTTTATAAATATAATACGATTCGGCGAAAAAAAAATTAGATAGAAAACACGTTGGTAGTCATAATCATATCAAGTTTGATAATCCGATACAATAATCACAACAAGATTCTCCTATATCTCCCATATCAGAAAACTTGCTTTCATCTTACTTTTGGAGGAGTTTTTCTTAATGCTGCTTTTTCTTAGTGCCTTCTCCAATGACCATATTCTCACAGGGATTTGTATGCAAATTATTGTACTTTTATCCTTCGAAATGCATAGCTCTTAATAAATAAGAGTACCTGCATTTATGTCTACGATGACATTAGTCTAGGAAGCAAGTTGGTTTGGAAAGTTTGCTTGCTCTAATCAACTACCACAGTCTTTTGAAGAAAATAAAAGCAAACCCAAAACAATGCCATGGGATAATTGTGTTTATTCTTGAAGGAAATACATGTTTGCAAATTTCATTTATCCCTTCATAGTTATGTTGTTCTTTTGGTCCTGAGAATGTCTGCATCGGAATCAAATTTTGCTTATTATTCTGTGGAAGTCCAACACATATGGTTTCTGGCATTTGCGCGTATTTTGCCCTCTCAAAATTTGGGAGTATGATTCCATATGGTAATTAGAAAGAATCCGCTAATAAATCGAAGTTCGAAAATCCCTATAAAAAAAGCTTTGACGGCTGACTTAAGCGTTAAATTCAATCAGTACCCATTATGCAGATCATATGAAATGAATTTCCAACATTTTTTGATCGAATTCGTAGGGATAAAAGAAGAGCAGCTCTTTGTATACTTAAAAAAAATGTTGCGCTGATTATTCTTATTATAGGTCTATTTAAATATTTATGTAACTATGTATATAAAACACGTAACAGTTATTATTTAATATGAAGACAAAAAGTTATTCAATTAAAAAACATATGGCTTACTTAGTAACCGAAAGAAGCAATCTTTTTTTTTGATAATCGCAACTATTTGAACAATATTAAAAAAGACGTTTAAAAAAATTTTCTTAAAATATAAATACACGCTTCCATCTGCAATTTCTTTCCTGAATTGATAAAAGCTTCAACCAACGACCCTCAATAAAAACACCATTAATTTGTTTACAAATTAAAGAATTTTCGAAAAACAGCAAAGAACCCGACAAAAAAGCGTAGAAATTTTTTTTCTTTACTCCGAATTAAATAAGATACTTAGAAAGCATAAGATGCAATACTAAAGGAAGAGAAAAAATTTTAACAAGAAGGAAAATTATTATAACAAAATATACACGCATGTAGATATGAATCTACTGGTTGCTTGAAAGTATTTTACAAAGTTTTATTTCTCATTTTTTATTAACCTTACACTCTTTGATTAAAGATTTAATAGGCAATAAAAAAAAAGCACTAATAAAATCCCTTGTCAATGTATTTTCTCTGTTTTTACACGGAAAGTGAATACTAGTCTACAGCTACTTTCAAAAAACCAATATCAGGTCAACAGGCTTTGGTGTGTTTTTAAAACAAAAGCTAATTCAAAAACTTTGACGAAGTGAAATGCACGAATTTAGACAAAGCCCTGATTAACACATTTGTTTATTTGAAAACTAAATTTTATGACGCAATTGTTTTTAATGTTTAGGCAACTAACAGAAAATCATTTTTAGTAAAGAGTTTCTCACCAAAACAAAAAAACTTTCACTCTTTCACACTTTCAGACTGTTACACTTTATTTCAGCCGTCTTTTTTTAAATTATTCTAGGGGAGGATGTATTTTATTTAATATTTACAAATATACGAAACGATTGACCAAATTTGTTTAATCACTTTTTGCTAATAAAATTGGCGTGATCGAAATCTCAGCAAGTAACCTTCTATAGAAATAAATGTTCAGCTCTTCTTCTTATTTTTTATAAGCACAATCACAGTGCTTGTCTATGCAATTTTTCAATAACTGTTAAGACAGATAGTAACTGGAAATGAAAAGTGAACAAATAATTGTAAAAAAATTGAAGATGGGAAAATAACAAACCGAAAAAGGACAAGGGGTCAGCAGACTCCAGAAGCACATGCGCACGTAACGGAGCCAAAAGATAAAAGAGGTGTTCCTTAGCAAATCATAAACGTTTTGTTGCTATGTTTTGTATGCTATGTTTATTATATCTATCGTCCTCAATTGAGGCTTCAAGCTTTGGAAGAATACACAACCAGTATTGACACAAAATTTGTACTGGGAAATATGTAAAATTCTCCTTTGTTTCATATCAGTGCAAGGGAACAATTTTTGTGCAGGGATCTTGTTTACTTTCACTGATGCACATTTTTAAAAAATGCTGCGAGACACAAACCAATTGTCGCTGTAACTTTTATATTTAATTTTATAAATGTATACTTAATTCTCTTTCTGTACGATTTTATTTGCACGATATTTGATTTAACACGAGCTAAAAAAATGTTTTTTTTACATTTAGGTTGCAGCCACAAATAAATACAAATTATATAAAAAGAAATGGTAGCACACTTGCAAAAATATTACATTTGCATTTCTTCAAAAACAAATGCCAGCATTAAATGTACACTACGTGCCCATTACCAAAAATTTTAATGAGCAATTCTATGTAATTTTATTTCTAGAAAATTAGTATATAAGCAACCAATTTTATCAATAAAGTCAGAATTAATTTTAAACACACAAGCCGAGTTTGTCTTGGCATATAAAAAGTCCAATCAAAACATAAATTCTTTGCATTGAATAGTGACGCTCTTGGCCGAATCAATTTTGGCAACTGAAGGAGTGCAAAACAAGCATACACGTTCATTTATTTTATACTTTCACTGCAGAGAATTCATAGGGAATTTTCTGTCTCACACAACTACCTACATAAATTATTAAACTTCATTACAATATGCTTAATGAAATAAAATGTGCAAGCATGAACTAAATTCTTAAGTGAGTTGCTTTTTTTATGTCAGGGATAAATCTACTATTTTCACATTTAGCCAATATCTTTTTTACACGATTTTTTAAGGAACTTTGCTATCGTGTAAAAAAAGAATTAGGTGTAAATTGTAATTGCGCTCTACAAGTTAAAGGAAAAAAGGAATATTGAAAAATAAGAGCAAAGAATTTATGTTAACAAAAACAACAAGATTAACTAAATATGTTACATATATGTCTTCACCATAAAGTATTAAGAATTACAGTTTTTTACTATACAAAAATTCAGTTTTCGTAGAAACTGGTATATGAGAGAGGTGTCAAAACATTACCCCGACCGAACTTCATATTTTGTACCAATTTAGAATGCCGAAAACTATTACAAAGTGAGTTTTGTCGAAAATTTGAAAACTGTAAATTTTGTTCATATAATGACTTCCGAAAATAAGGCTTTATATGGGTAGTGATCAAAGAAGCGGACCGATTCGATCCATTGCCAATACCTTTCATCCCTGGGTTAAAGCACTTGTTATATCAAATTTCATCAAAATACGACGAAAATTTCGAATTGTAGTTTGAACCGGACATTAGACAGACTTAGTTCGGTGCAATAAAATTAATATACCTTGTACCACACGTGGAGTAGGATGCAAAGATTTTTCTTTATGTATGAAATTTCTCTACTCGATTGTTATATATTTGTTCGCACTTTCACTTTAATAAATGAAATGAAACAAAAATAGCATATCTTCATATCTACCGTATAATGAGACGGAGCAAGAAAATTTCTTTTTAACGGTTTCTTTAGATGTATTAATACGGTAAGGTTTGTGGGAAGCACTTTGTAAAGCAACACTGGTATTGTGTGTGTGTTTAGCCTGAAGAAAATTTAACGGTTTAATCGATTATAGTTGCTGCTCTTCTCAGGGAGGCTTTCGTAAGTCTTGCATACATATGAGTTAACAGTGTGCTGGCAGACGTCCTTGCTGGATTTTCTGAGTTCTTTTTTTAGCGTTCTCCAAATAAAGGAATACAATTGAAAGACCAGTCTGTAGTGTGTGTTGTCATCTATATAAAAAAGATTAACAAAAAAAGAAAAATAAATAAATAAAGTAAGATAAAATAAAAGAAAATATTTTAACGACGTAAAAACTTCTTTTACGTTTACATCAAGCATTATCCTGGCGTTAGTGACCACATAGAAATAAAAAGAAAAATTTCTTACGTAAATATTTAACCATCTTAAAATCTAAGTGAACTAAAATATAGAGAAAAAAAAGTAGTTGAAAAAAATGTTCTGCCGAAATCAGCGTTTATTATTAGTCGGAAATTCGTTTTTACACATAAAAGCATACTTTTATATTCACTTAAAGTTGAAAAATAAGAAATTAGAGAATATTCTTGTGAAAATATACTTTAGATTTGGTACAAATGCCCTAGCGATTACATAAGCTACCAACGCACTATATACAACCGAGGAAAAGATGCATAAAGTGTTCCATATATGTGCGAAAAATTATTCTTTTTCTCTTCTTTCGTTTTTGTTACCTTTTTGTTTTGTGCTTTAAATAAATTAGTAATTATTTTTTTAGTTTTTGACTAATAATTATATAAAATTCAAATTTTTTTTTGACTTCTTTCTAACTCACTACTTAACTAGGTCAGTTATCGAATTTCCAATAATCACAACAATTGTACGACATAGTAAGCTGTTTTCTTCTTATTTTGTTTTTTTTTTTTTTTGTTTTTCACTTACTCTATAACGGTAAACGAAATTGCATACGATTCAATTCAACCATGCCTGATATATTTTTCTTTTTAAGAGATAACCAGGAGTGAATAAAGGTAGTTAGTACTACACACACACACACACAAACGCTTCGAAGATTTAATTCATCAGATTTAACTGGAAAATTTTCATAATAAAGAAAAATACAGGAAATGCATATCAAAGAGCAGTTAACGAGAAAAGGAAACAAAAAATATGGCCTAAGATTCTTTTGTTTCGCTCTCCTTTTCCCTCTCTCTTTTTCTCTGACAGAACTGGGGGATTGCATATTTTCCATACATATTTTCCACTAGGAAAAGGAAGAAAAAAAGGCCGAAAAAATCAATTTCTTTTCCTTTGAGTGTTCGGTGAAATGTAGTGTGTAAATGTTCGTGTGTGTGTGTGTGTGTTCGTGTGCATGCGTTTCTCATCACTATGTTGCTATGTTATAAAATCTGTTTATTTTAAAGAGAGCCTAAGAGAGTAAGTAAAGTACGTTTTTTTCTTTTTTTCGTTTTTTATACTTTTCTTCCTTTCACTTTAACACAATAACAATACATTTGAATCCAATTAAATTGTTCTTTTACCAACAACAATAGAATGAAAAAAATAATATATATATATATGTATATTCATTCTATCATTGTGACAGTTATGGTTATTTTTCGTATTTTTCCTTTTTTGGTAATACATAGAAATACATTTTAATTCAATACATAAGATAAATACATCTTAAGAATAATCTCTTTTAAAGAAATTTATTAGGTCGTTTACAACGTCATCATTGTATCGTACCGACTTTTTTCTTTTTTTGAAGAAAGAAATACACAATTATCACTGGCACTAGCACTTACTGCCACAAATTAAACGTCAAAGAGCACGAAAAAAAAGCAAGATTGCACTCAATAGAATTTTGTTCGCAATTTGCTTTACATGATAGAAAGCAAAAAAAAAAAAATGCAAACTCAGTAAAAGTATAAATGCTTGAATATGCATCCAACTTTATGTGTGTGCCTGATGTGCTCTTTTAACATGTACTTTAATTTTGTTATATTTTTTTTTTATTTGCCGTTATTTTATGTAATAAATGTAATGTATGTAGTGCATCTATCTTTTCGCCAAAAAAGTCTTAAGCGTGTTGTGTATATATGCGTGCGGGTGTGTTTCTATGCCCCTATACATGTAGGTATATAAGTATTTGTGTTACACTTATTCCGGAAACTAAAGTTCAGAAAGTGAAAATTTCTTTTCATTTCACGGGTGTTATCATTCATAACATTTGTTATGAATACGATTCTTCTGTGCGAGCAAACAAACGCTACATATGTATATATAAAGAAATATTACAGCTTTTTCAGTCACATTGTTTAGGGCGTCATTGTGATTTAACATACGTTACGTTACGTGTTTATAATAAGGAGAAAAAGTCTCAGTCTTTAATGTGAAATTGTGTTCAATTTATTTTCAAATTGCTAAAAAAAAAAAGAAAAAAAAGACGAAAAGGATTTATTACGTAACGAAAAACTTTTACTTAAACACTTGAATTTTGTTATAAAAAACAGTCGAAAATGTCACCTTTAATGGAGCGAACACTACTAGTGGCGGTCGTTTTGGGTTGCCTACAAGGTAAGCGAAATATATTTGTTATCATTATAATTAATTTAGCCACAAAAATAAATTGTAAGCTTATAGTCTTAAAGTACTAACCTCTATGGCTATTGCGGCTCTATTGAAAACTCTACCGCCCTTGAAATATAAACTGACGACCATTGACTTGTTGGTTGAGATGCTTTGCCTACTCAGGCACAGGTCGATAGTTACCGGGCTTAAGTAGGACAAATTTGGTTTTTTTTTTGTGAAATTCGATTTTAGTCAAAAGTGTCGAAAAGTACTTAAGATTTGTCTAGCAGTTCGGCGACTTTTTATAGAACGATTTATCGAGATCGTTTATATAGGTTTGCAATGACCACTTTTCTTTTTTTTTTCTTTTCCTTTGTGTGTGACAAGTCATATACACTTTTATTTTATATTTATTTTTTTGTGTTAAAGACGAAACCTATGTAACGTTCCCAGAAATTATTATACATATCTGTTATAGGATAGTTATGCGTATATCTTTTCTAAAAAAACGAACAATTTTTTTGAAAAAATTGGTTTTTCATTTGAAAATATTAAAATTCGGAACATTCGATTAAATTACATTAGATCTGTTAAAGTGGTGCAAAAATCGAATATTTCCAATTCAACATTAGGCTTCTAATTTTGTCGGATGAAAAGCTCAAATATTAAGAAAGGCTTTGGAAAAGTTCTTGCTGTTCATTGGCAAGAGGCGTGTCCAAATTTTACTGTTAGGATAACGAGTAATCGTTTTCGCTTTATAAAGAACGCCAAGTTTAATATGTACCGAATGTTATTCTGATAAAAATTATGTAGTACTAATGGGTACTCCCCAGCACAACAGTTGAACAGTATAAAGTTAGACTTTTATTACAACCTGCTGTCAGAACTCGCTTAAGTCAGTAAAAGGATCGTTATGAACCGAAAGACGTTAAAATATTTGAAGAAAATTTATAAAATATTGAAGTAAGTGGGTGCGGACGAACACTCACAAGAATTTAGCATAGGCGCAGCTTTTATTATCGATCTAAGCCTTTCTGTCCATGTGATGTCTGTCCACATAAATTTATGTTCGATTTACAGGTCGCAATTTTTTATATCTTTTAATGAAATTTAGTACACCGACATGTTTTGACCTAAGGAGAAACTTAATGGAAAATGATTCGGATTGCGGCACTTTGAGAGGTCATTATATGAATAACCGTATTCGGCGAAGTGGCGTAGAGTATGCACTGGTGAGCCATGGTCCACTGTATCATTTTTACTTATCTTTATATAACAACGTACAATATGTCAATGTTGACTTTGCAACGACTTGGTACTTTTCTTTAAAAGACCATCATTTGTTATGTCATAAATTTAAATAAAATATAAAATGCAATCATTTTGGGTCTAAAGATAAATAAAATGATCAAAGCATAAATGTCTGTAACGATAAGCGTGGTCCAATTTTTATATATCTTTGCAAAATACAATAAGCGCTTGCAGCGGTGAACCTTGATTTTCGAAATAAATTCAAATATTTGTTAGACATGAAATATGCCGTAAATGTCAAGATAAATTATGAGACATTTAACAAACATATCAGAATAAGATAGAAAAAAGAAAGAATCGCGAAATTAGCGGAATAAATAATCAATGCTACGCACAAGCATTAGACATAATTTTCATGCTCACATTATGGCATAAACGAATTGCAAGTCAGAAGAAAGCACGGTGTTCTTACGAATGCTAATTTATTTGCAAAAAAAAAAAAGGAAAAACAGACGTACGTATATGTATACACTGGCGCACATCAAACCGAAGAATATTCTATGCATATTCCTTCGATCATATCAACAGTAAGTCAAAGAAAAAGTTCATGGCGGGTTTATTCCAAAATTTAAATTTTTCTTATATTTTTAAATTAACTTTAATATATAGCATAATATATATGCTGTGAGATTGAAGATGATCAAGATGCATGGATGGCGTTCAATGTTACCATACATAAATCATCATTATCCTACTTGGCATCGAAAGTTGTGCATTTTCATTCTTCTTGAACCATCATCTTTTTCGCTGATTATTGCGATATTGCATTCTACGAATCGTTGATATCGTAAGAGTGATAGTAAAAACTTTGCCCCATATTTCTAAATAAATTTAGCTGTTCAAGATGAGCAGTAAATTTTGATTAATTTTTTTTTTTCATTATTTATTGGTGTGTTCTTCTTTTGATTGTTCTTGTTCTTATTTGTGTTCTTATTTTTATTATTTCTGTTATTGTTATTCTGTCAATTTTGAATTTTTCAAAGGACAGACTGGCGCACAGGCATATATACTTCTATCAAATTGAAATCTTATATTGGCTTTGATTATAATATTGCTAAGAGAAAATAAGAAAAATAAGAATCTTTCATTTAAACTTAGCGGATACTTCGGAATTGTGAAAATACATTTGCGCGTTATAATAGTATCGCCCTTGACATGTTCCAAACTCTGCATGAAGACGTCATCGAAAATAGTAGGCACTAGGTAATCAACTAGGTAACAATCAGCTAGGTAATCAACTAATATGGAGGCTCACCATTCATCATAAGTTCATGTGGTGCATTTATATTCTGAACCATGAATTGTGGAGGTCAGTGGTCAGGATGGTCCGGGTTCGCAAATTTCGACTTCGGCAAAATTGTTGACTGCTGGCTAAGGCTTTTCGTGGAGCATCGTAAAGGCTGCGATTTCCTAGCGGCACGAAATACATAGAGATGCAGGTGGAATCCGCTTTGCGCAGAGGGGCAGGCTTGAACTCTAGCTTTAATTTGCTCGATTGGCCTGCTAGCTGAAGACAGCAACTTATCGCTTGCATTTACATCATAAACCGATGAACTCTCGGCTAACTAAGCCTTGCATGGCAATATAAATGTCGAACTTTACACCTTCATATTGGTGTAATTTACACGGTTTTTTAAAATAAAATAAGTAAATATACAAAAGCGAGCTTTTATTGCTTACTATATCTCCGAAACAATGGTTTTTGATTCCGATGGTCATAAAATTATCATCATTAGCTATGCATATGAATCCGAAGCAACTGACCAATTGAATGAATATCGCTCAAAAAGTGAATAAAACTACACCGTACCGAAGTCGTTCAAAACTGAAAATCATGCCAACAGTTTTCTTCGATAATCGGGGTCTGAATTTTTTCCTCTAGACCAATCTGCTAATAAGGGTTATTATTTGGATGTTATTGAGGGCGACGAAATTCGAAGAAATTTGAAAGAATAGAGTTTTTTTCACTTTAAAAATAAATTCATCTTATTTTTTGATCACACGCACATACTTTGCGAGATCCGTAGCTTTAGTTGTTCTCTAATTCGTGTTTCCGGCCACGGCATACAGACGGTATGGCATATTTAGAATCATCCACAAAAAAATCATTTTTCAAATGACAAATAGAAAAAAATGTATCGATAACTTTTTTACAGTTACCACAGCTTTAATGTGCTACGATTGTAACAGTGAATACGATCGCCGTTGTGGAGACCCATTCGATCCTTATTCAATAGGTGTAGTTAATTGCAGCAAACAAGAGCCCTTGGAACATTTGAAGGATAAATATAAACCTATTTTATGCCGCAAAACTACACAAAAAGGTAACGTTTTTAATAGCATGCAACCACAGAGAACTGTATACATAGAGATTTTATCAGAATCTTCAAAATACAAACTAGTAGCTAATGGTTTTTTTTGTTACCTTAGTGGAGTTATGTTAGTGGTATTTCTGTTATCAATGAGAGTAGCAGCGATGTTAATTAGCAGCCATTTAATTTGCTTGCTCTTTCATTCCCACTAATTCTACTAAACGTCATCATGATGATGTCTCTATGTATTTAGTTCTCTCTGGTAAAACACATAGATTTCTGTGTTGAACTTCTTGTCACTATCCTCTTTGTCCTTCTTTTAGTATACGGTAAGGTACGCATTGTACGCGGTTGCGGTTATATACCAGATGAACGTACAGACGATGGTGAGTGTCTTAAACGATCGGGTACACATGACGTACAGGCTATTTATTGCGCTTGTACAAATGATTTATGCAATCATGCTGCATCAACACAGTTAAATAACAATGAAAATTATTCAAAATTAATTTTCGCGTATACATTAGCTGCCCTAACTGTAATTTTTTCATGTAACACAATTAATATGAATTTCATGCAAACTTCATAAATTTTTATGGAAAACAAAATAAATAACGACGAGTATATAGTAGATTGCAGAAGCAAATGGACGTGGTATCAAGAGAATTAAACAAGTGGTTTAGAGAAAAAATAATAGAAAAAAAATGGCTAGAAAAACCAAATCTTACGCTTGAAGAAAAGAAAAAATAAAATAATAAGGAAAATAAAATATATAAAAAAAAAAATCCAAAACAATATGTTTTTAAAATTGTGAGCAAGAAAAGAGATATTTTTTGTGTGCATTCTGTTGTGTTAATAGAGTTTTAAATATGAAAGTTTTCACAAAAAAGGAGAAATAAAATATTTTTCTGATTTTTCTTTTCTCTTATAAATTTTTTCCAATTGAAAGTATGCAAAATTTTCAAATTTATTTATCGATTTATTTTTTGATTTCTTTCATAAGATGTGTATATGTATACACATGTATATATACATACACTCAAAAAAAAAAAAAAAAAAATTACACAATAGTAAAACTGCCTCAACGATTTATTTAAATTTTCTTAAAAAAAACACAAAAGTTTACGAAAAATAAAACAAAATTTCGAAATTGGCTTAAAGGAAATCTTTACAAATTAACTGGTTGTAAAGTTTAACTTTTAAAACACAAACACCCACAAATACATTTACAAAATAACACAATATATGCAAGTGATTGCACTCACACACACATATATATATAACAAAAATTAATTAGATTCAAAAATCCTCAATTCACTTATTTGATTTTGTTATGCACACTACTATTACACTAAAAAACACGGCAAACGATTCGAATTTTCTCAAATATTTGAAAAAAAAACTATACATAATTTTTTTAAATTTTGAAATATTATTTCAACAGTAAAAAGCATAATATAAAAACAAATTGGTTACTATTACTAAAAAAAAGAGTAAAAGATAATAATAAATAAAAATAAAGAAAAATCTACATTTAATGTGTACTTTAAGTAAAAAAAAATAACTAGATAAATAAAAAACAAGCATGTGCTTCATTACAATACAAGAAGAAAATATTAGTTTAACTTAAAAAAAGAAAAATTGCAAGAAAAAAGAAAATAGGATTCGCCAAAGGGTGCTTCTTGCATACCTGCCACGTAGCGTTCCGACAACGTAATTGTTAGCATTTTCTATTAAACGTATAGTCTACGCTAAGGGTTTTAATTGCTTACTTACTTAGTGTTCCGTCTAAAGTTGTCATTAAAATCAACGGTTCTCTTTTCAAGGGGAGAAAAGAGAAAGAACCGGTAAACCAAAGGCCCTCCTTCCAACCGCCTTCCACAAGCCAAGAATAATAAAGTTGTGAATATCAACATTTCGCCTTCAGCTTTAAGCAAAGAAAATTCATTTCAGATATGTCACACACTATAAAGGTATTCGTTGAACATAATGGACTCTCCAGCTTTATTGAATTACTAAAGTAATGAAAATGAAGAACGCTTGGAACACAGGAAGAATAAATATGATGAAAATCTTAAAGAAACGATTTAAAAGGGGGTTAATGGGATACTTAAATCAAGAGGTTACTTGTATTCGATGCATTCGCTTCCAATTCGAGTCCGAAGTAGTTGAAAGAGTCCAATCATACACACAAACAATTTGTTTGTATCGGGAAACTAGTAAACAAAACCAGTTCGAAAATGAATTTATAAGTTCCTTAATACGAAATAGTTCGCCGTAAGCGGAACTACCTAAAATGCGGTCTATCTAAATTAGTGCGAAGAGTTTAAAATTACTGAAAGTGTATTCGATTCGATTCTATTAACATTGAAAGTGAGGAATGTGATTGATTCATATGATTGATTCTCATGAAGAGACGAAGAAAATGTATCTAATCTCAAGCTCAGATGGTGGGTGCAACAACATGAAAAATGTATTGTTAAAAAAAAAGGAAAAAGTGAAAAAATCTTCCTATTTAACATAAAAAATAAGCAGAGGACATTTACATGCAAGCACATGTCACATTTGTGTATATACGAATGGTGTATATATATATTATACATATATATTACATACATGCATACATCTACATATATGAATGTGTATGTACTTATACTCTGCATATAAATATACATATCTGTGTACATATGCACCTAAAAGTGTAAAATGCAAACATATATGTATTATATACAAATAGTTGTGTACATATATGTCTGTAAATGTACATCTGTGCATTTGTGTGGAGGCATACGTATGCATGTATGTATGTATATATATACATATATGTATACGCATGTGTTTAGTACATGCTAATATATCTAGATACATAAAGAAAGTATTATTTAAGCAGCAGTTACATAAACATCCAAACGACATTTAAGAAAAAAAAAAAAATTCTATAATTTCTTATAAGTATATATTTATCATACACCTACAAATGCATATATATATATGTATATATATATATATACATTATATATACTGTTATCTATTTAGAAATTTTTCTTCTATGATTGTTAATTATTACCGTACTATGGTTATTATTATGGTTATTATTACTAAAACGTTTCTATTATTATGATTACCTTTTTTTTGGAAAAACAGTATACAAACAGACATGCATATAATACATTAAAAAAAAAAACATTATAAGTGCAATTATAAATAGTAATTTTTTAATACTTAATTTTAAAGATAATGTATTTTTTTTTTATAATAATAGATTTTAATTATTTTTAAACAAGACTCCTTTTTTTTAAATTACTTTATTCCTTTTTTTTAAATATTAAGCAAGCAAATTATATAAAACCTAGTAGCTCCAAATTTATTTTTATATTATTTTCCCTATGTATGCACACAATACATTGCTGATTACACCGAACGCTATCATTTTAGTTGTCGTCTTCACAATATTTAGTTGAGGTAAACCGTTCAACTGTTCAGAGGAAATTTAACCTAAAAGTAAAAATCTAGCTTCAATTTTCGTATATAAGAAAGAGAAAATGAGTCATACATTAATATCGTTGGACGAATGAAGACATTGTGTACAGTTATCACCTTTATGTGTTTTCAATTATTCGCTTATAATTGAAAAAAATAAGTTTGACTCATCCTAATAATTGATTGAATCACGTCATTGTGAGCAGCTAAGTGTGTCGGCTTCATTGGAAAATGTGCATTTTTAATGCGTCGCAAAAATTTAGCTATGACAAGTATGCTCGTCATCCGCAGACTATGTGTAATATGAAATTAGATTGTTATGTACAAAATGATAAAATTTTATGATGAAAGAGACGCAAGGATGGATCATGACAAAATTTGCAGCACATTTTCATCACGTATATTATGTATATACATATTCGGCATACACCGTTAGCTGGTTAATTGCTGCAAATTTGTTTAGATAATTTTTCGATTTTTATACCTTATACCACTTGTGCGGACATATACAGCACCAGGAAGGACTTAGAACAGGCATATATTTTATTATACTAATTTATTTAGAATCACTTTCGCCTGTTTTTGTGTGTTCTTGTGCTCAAACTACAAATTTTTCGTAAATTTTGAAAATGTTTTCATAAAATTTGGTTTTGGCCCAAGGACGATTGTTATTGAAAATGATTTGCTTCGGACCATTTCCCACATCATGCCTTACTTTGCTAAGTCGGTTTATGAGGCGAAGTTTTGTAACGTATTTAACGGAAGACCGTGGCCGTGAAAGCTGCAGGAATTTAAAGCAGTGGGATTCTTCGATCTTTTTTCTTCAAACAATTTAATCTTCATCTCAGTTTTTACCATACATGGCAAGCTTTCAATTACAACAAATTAGCTTTGATTTGTCTGTTAGAAAAGTGTCTTCGGGTGGTTAGTCTTTTCGTAGATTTCTCATACCAACCGTTAGCCATAAACTGAGTTTAATGCAAAGTTTTATTGCATGACAAATTTTTGTAAAAGCCTTTTCTAGAGTCATCTAAGAATGACTAGCAGATAATACGTCTTACGAAAGGACTCAGAGGAAATAGCATCGAAAGAGAGAGGAGAGAGAGAGACTATACATTAAACATATGAGTGAATTTTTAAGACGAATTTTAACATTTAAGAGCTTTTCAACTTTAAAAATTTTTCATTCAAACTTTTGAAAAATTTTTCCTCATGAAAAGGTGTTTTGTTCACAATTTTTCTTATTACTACAGTTTTTTTTTTTTGCGTTCTTGAATGAGCTATTAAGTTTTATATAATTGTACCGAACTTCATAGTTTTCCGTTTTATTTAAGTGCATTAAATTTAATTTTTCTTAAAAGAGAAAGAAAGCCAAGAATAACTTTGATCACGAATTAAGCGAAAGAGTAATGAGAGCATGCGGATCAGAAAACTATTGAATGAAAAACTTTTCCATTATATCCCCCGTCCAAGAATGAAAAAGAGACTTATACACATTGGTCTAATAATTATTTTGTAATATCACGAAAATTCATACTCGAATTTCTCAGATTCTTGAAAAAACTTATGTATGACGCAACATATCCTTCAATAAGTCTACGGTCAGGTTAATATATGGCAATACTGTTGACAGACACTGTTGTTGATTTCCACAAACTTTCCAGTGATACGTGTAAAAATTTCGTGGCATTCTGACGATTAGTTGGCGAGTTATAGTGTTTCTAACACCACTACTTTTCGAAATAAAAAAAACATTGGATTGGAATTTACTGAATTAAATGTTGCTTTTTGATAGCAGAAGGAATTATCGTGACTCTTTATCGTTCACAAAATAAATGTGTTGGTGCATTGTCAGTTTTAAATAAAGTCATATGGATAGCAATAACGCCGAAAGCTCTGGTTCCCAGAATTCGACAGTAAGTATGGCACTCTGAAGTAAAAGGCAACCCCTTCATCATTTTGCGCGAATGTCTATTTAAGCTATCTCCGAAATGGCTGCTGCATTTACTCACTTTTCATAAAAAATAGCAACGATTTGAAGCCACTTGGGCGAAATAATAAAGATTTTTGCTTGCGTTATGCGACAATGGAGGAAGCTTGGAATCACCATTACACTTCACAGTAAAATCGGCAATCAGTCGAGTAGATAACAACCGGCGAAAGCGACCATGAAAACGCAAAAGTTTGGTCAGGGAGTTTATGGAGTAATTTGAAATATGGAATACGCATGGTACAATATTCATCTCTTAAAAAACGATAAAGGATCAATAGCGAATATTATTTTGCATCACAAAGGCACTTAAGGGACGCAACTCCAAAGCAAACCGCAAGTTGCACCGTAGACTTATTGAGCGGCATGATGTATTTTCTGTTTACGGTTAGGTAACATTTTCGCGTATTTTAGACAAATATTCCTTTCTCTTAT